GTGCAGTGTAAGTCTGACTAGTCTTTTTGAAAATTTTGCTGGATCATTCCACTATTCTTTTTGCCAGAATGTCAGCTTACTGTCATCACCTTGTCCATCACTGTTGGAGCAAACAATAGGCTCTGCATAAAGGTGATTTAACCGCTTTCCTTTCAATGGACTTTTTACATTGACAATTCTCCACCACTTCCATATAATATCAATGAATATCAAAAATTACAGAGTGAGTTATGATGGGTGCTGGTTTATATTCTAACTTAAATAAAGTAACTTTATCCTGAACAATTTTATGCCACCCATATGGACATTGCCATGAACTGAAAACTGTGAGAAGGTCTGAATAATTTTGAAAACTTGTTGATTTTTGATAGGAGGAACAATCATCAATGTTACTTTGCAGTGCTTTAAGTAGTTTTTCTTGTTCTTTGTCCTACAATTTCTCATCTCGGCTTCTTCTGCTTGATATGTCGTTTGAAATGTATTATGGACAATTTGCAAAGATACTTGGAATTACATCTGCCTTTAGTTTTGGATACTTAAGGGGTACAGTAATGGTCCTACCTGTCTTTTCGTCATGGAAGGTGGATTTCCAAGTGATGCTGTCCTCAGCAAAGTACAAATTGCATACTCGTGTGTTTTTTGTAACCACCAAATCACTACGAGGGATTGCATTGAGCCATCTTTTACGACAGTTTTCATTCAATCGAAACGAAAATACGTGTACTTTCGGACCCTTCCCGTAATTACCGGCACAGTTAGGAACGCAGCACTTTTAAGGCATTTTGAAAACTTAGCTAAACAATCGCGAGACACAAAAATAAGTTTAAGACATCAATAATTTTCAGATTACATAGCATACAAAGATACATAATAGAGGCTCAGAATGTGAGGTTAGTTGGCTGTTGGTGTTACCAAGGTTGCCACATATTCCAATTTTGAATAGAATATTAGACTTTATAAGTGACAGATTGAACTTAATATCGAAAATGTATTCTTGACATACTGAGACAGATCAGAAAGAATAATCACATCATCACTAAAGCTGCGTAGGCCCCGAGTATACCTTGCAAATTCGCCCACAGAGAGGTACAACTAATTAGTAGAGATTTCGATACTGCTATATCAAGTCTAGATATGACAATACCGCAGAGAAATGGTGGCGCGGTTCTCTTGCCAGCCAGGCATCGCGATACTCCATAAGAACATGCATAGGCCTACTTTGCGTGACGTCACAGGCTTTTCAGACCCCAGTTCCTTGTACTCTCGGAGGTAACGGTGGTACTTGCTGCAAAAAACTTGGTGCTGACAACAAGTTTGTGAGCTGTTCTGTGTGCAAGAACCATTACTTTTACAGCTGCGTTGAGTTGTCCCAAAATGATGCCGAAATTTTGAAAATCAAATCAAACGTTAATTTCACCTGTAAAAACTGTAGCATGATTGGTGCTACACTATCTGATCTTCGAGCATTGGTCATTGCTTTGCAAGAGGAAATAAACGCGCTCAAGTCGACACGCACTGACACAGCCCAGATATCACCGTCTGTCGACTATGGACATATAATTCAAGAAATACACGACAGTCTAGGAAGAAACACTTAATTATCTTTGCGGTTCAAGAGAGTGCAGATCAGTCCATCGCGCAAAAGAGGGCTTATGACACTGAACAAGTCAAAAAGAACCTACAGGTCTTGGATCGTGATGTTAATGCCGATAGTATTAAGCCGATTAGACTAGGATCTGTCAATGCTGGTATAACGAGGCCCATTAAATGAACACTTAGGGATGAAGATGATGTTCGTGCTTGTATTAAGCCAGCTAGCAACTTAAAGAGGAGCAATGTTTTCTCCAGGATTAGTATCTCATTTGATCGTACACGTCGACAGATCTTGCATTATAAGAAACTGAAACAGGAGATGGAAGAACGATCTGCAAGAGACGAAGACGGCTTAAAGGTCGAGTACGTTCGTGGTGTCCCTAGAATCGTTTCGGAAAACTAGGGAAGCCCAAAAAAATATCCCTATGCGCTGTTATTTTCAAAACGTGCGCGGACTGAATACCAAATCCAATGAATTTTATTCCGCAATTTTGTCTTCTGATTATGATTTTGTAGGACTTGCCGAAACTTGGTTGTGTAGTGATGTGAGAAATTCGGAACTGTTTCCTCCTGAGTATATTGTGTACCGTTGTGACCGCGATTTCTTAAGAACAGACACTTCATGCGGAGGAGGGGTTTTTCTGGGTTTCAAGTGTACTATAGGTTTTAATTCTGTATTTATATATGTCCTGTACGTACCACCACAAGTAACATTTGCAGACTTTGAAACATTCTTGGAATTATTTTCACAAACTACAATAAGTCAATTAAATGTCCTAATTATAGGAGATTTCGATGTAACAAATTTTGTTGATAATACAATTGTTGATAGACATTCGACTGCACTAAACAGATTTTTTGAATTTTCAGGTCTTTCTCAAACCAATACTATTTGGAATGCTAGACAAAGCATGTTGGATTTTGTGATAACTGACATGACCTGCAAAACTTTTCATCCTACATCATCCGTCTCTATTTGTAGTTTGTGAAACTAAATTCAATGCCACTCTGAATTTTGACACGAATGTAGCAACTCCAACGTGCAACTTCAGGAAAGCTAATTCCATTGGCCTTTACAATGCCTTGACTTACATTGATTGGTGTTTTTTGGACAACGTGGAGGATGTCAATCGCATGTGTCACTTGTTCTATGAAAAATTATACTTCGTTTTTGACCTGTAATTCCGGAAATATATCAAGCATAAGCATCGTTATTCAGGTTGGTATAGCTCGGATATTATTCGAAATTTAAAACTGAAACGTAAACTGTATCAACAATATAAACGTTCCAGAAGTCAGGAAATCTATGGACAATTTTTTAGGGTACGTGCACTTGTTAAACAACAGATAAAGGACTGTTACAATCTATATCTGCAAAAAGTTGAAAATGATTTGGTCACAAATCCGAATCATTGTTGGTTTTTCATCCAGTCTAAGAAAGGCTCATCTAGCATACCAGGTAGGATGACCCTTGCTAATGAAGTCTCAGATAATCCTTAATCGGTCTATTAGTTCATTCGCAGACTATTTCTAAAGTGTTTATGTTATAGATAATGATTTATACCAACATCCCGTTGTTAATACTCAGCATGACTGTTTCCATCTGGGTAACTTGACAGATGAGGATATTCTAAAGGCGCTCTTTAAATTACCAAACAAGTTAATAGCAGGAGAAGATCTGGTAACGAGCTTTGTAGTCCGTGATGCGGCGGACATATTTGTCATGCCTTTAAAGAAAATTTTTAATTATTCCCTCAGTACAGCAACGTGTGCCCTATTTTTAAAGCTGGGGACCCTAGTAAACTCGAAAATTACCGAGCTACATCTATAATGGATAATTTTGGTAAAGCATTTGAGATGTATACAACTACATCTATCCTTTGACCTCGCATCTGATATCTGAGTTGTAACATGGATTTATGCGCAATCGTGCTACTATTTCTAACTTCTAACGAAATCACCCATGAAATTGCAGAGGTCTTAGATAATAGAGGTCAGATGGATGTGGTCTACATGGAACTTCAGCAGTTTGGTTTTAGCAATCATTTATTAGATTTCATTTCTTCTTACTTGCATGATGGAAATCAGTACGTTTCTTACAATGGGTTCAAATCTTCACCTTACTCGGCCTCATCCGGTGTACCACAAGGATCAAATTTAGGCCCTCTTCTCTTTCTTCATTTTATCAATGACCTCCCTAACTGCTTAACCTGCCCTTCTCTGTTGTTTGCCGATGATTTAAAAATATATGCTCAGATTAACAGTATTGATGACTGTCTAATCTTGCAAGCCGACCTGAGTCATACATGTATATTTGAATGGTGTTCAACTAATAAATTATTTTTGAATGTTAGCAAATGTAATACCTGTTCTTTTACCAGGAAAACGAATCGAGTAGTTTTTGATTACACACTGGAGTTTGGTGCGTTGTTCAGAATTAAGAGATCTAGGTGTGTATTGCTTGATGTTACATTAGAATTTGCAGGTCATATTAGTACTCGTTCAGTAGGATACTACTACCGCTATAAAAAGTCTCGGTTTTTTTATAAGATACTGCAAATCGTTTGGTTGTGAAACGGCACTGAAGGCTTTATACTGCACCTTGGTGCGTTCTAAGTTGCAATACGCATCTAGTGCATGGCATCCATATTACCAAATCTATACTAATAACAGAGGAGATTTCTTAAATACTTGATTTCAAATTAGATGGTATTTATCCGAATCGTGGGACTCCCCAATCAGCGATGCTGCTCACATTTGAAATGCATCCTCCTGAGCTGAGAAGATTTTGTAATAGTTTAAAATTCCTTTACAAACTCGTACACAGTGATGTTGATTCTTCAGCTTTATTAGCTAAAATTGATTTTCATGTACCGTCCCGCATTTCTCGAAGATTTCTCGCTTTGTACTACCAAATTCTAATGTTACGATTAAGCCACCTGTGTATTTTCTGTGCTCCAGCTTTAACACCGTAGCTGATAATTGTGACATTCACCATGATAAACTCAAAGATATATTAGCTGTATTCAGGGACTACTGTTATTCAATTTATAGTACTCGTGTAACATTCAAGACATGTATGTGAGTAGATGTAGCTATTCATTTTTTGTTTAATTTTTTTTTCAGAAACTGGGCGAGCTATGATTGTAGTTAAAAATACCGTAACATCAAATGATATTCAATTACGTTGTCCTTTAAATGGATGCATTTGTTGGGCAATAAATATATTGTTATTATTATTATCATTATTACTATTATTATTATTATTATATCTTGATATCCGATTGTGCACGGTTTTTAAGTTGTCCCAATTTTTAAGAATTTATGGAAAATCGCTACTTCTGAGGCTATCTTATTGTTTTTGAAGTTGTATCTTGTTATTTCTCGAAAGTATATAAATAAAAACATTCATCAGCACCGGTACATTTTAATTTGCACTTGTATCTATATTAACATTTTGTATATAGTCGAAATCATGAAAGATGACGATTACGTCATCATTTTATTCTGTAGTAAAGACAAACGACAGCCATTTGTGAATATTTTTAAATGAAGGTTCAGATGTGTTAGACAGAGACAAACAAAATTGTATTGTCTAAACAAGTAGTATTGCTGAATTGCATGTATCCGATAAAGACAGACGATTTTTGCATGTTTCATGATCGATCACATTTGAAAGATGACAAGTGAGGTTATGCCATGTCAGGTTAGGTTGTTTTCGAACAATACTTTGGTCGTTGGTGTTCCTGTCTTGAGGTGTATTCTGTTGTGTGTATAACTGTTTTTTTCAAACCAAAAACTCCTCATAAAAATTATTATTAAGGTAGAAACTAAATAATTTCCAACATAAGAGCATCATTTAAGACTTTAATTCTAGTTTTCGCTATGAAAGGCAAAACTCTTAGCTCTCAATCACAGGGCTTGGTACTATCCTTGCTGAATTACTTTCAACAAGAAAAGGATAATGGAGGGCCTCTATTACCATTGTTAGCTGTCCAAGAGGTTTGTAATAGTTAGAAATATGGTCATATGATTGACAATTTATTCTATATTATTTTTCAGAGGGTGGCTCAGGCACTAAGTATCAGTTTGTCCACTATTACCAGAATACAGCGCCGTTTATCATCTAATGATAATGTCCTAAGATCACCTGGAAAGAAGAGACCCAGAAAAAAGTCTAAGACAACAGATTTATCTGATGCAGTCAGGCATAATATACGAGATGTAGTGTATCAAATGTATAGTGAAAGTAATGATAATGAGCGTGAGATGGTACATTCCAAATTATTGATTTTTTGTTTTGTTTCAGAGAAACATGTCACAATAGCAAATTTGAATAAAACGCTTAAAGAGAAAGAGCTTGTTTCTATCAGCAATAGCTCTTTACAAAGAGTGCTGCCCACCATAGGCTTTAAATATAAAAAAGATGGTAATAGAAGATTTCTAGTTGAGCAATCCAGTATTGCTTTACTTCGCACCAAATTTTTGAGAAGTTATAATGACTATGTGAACACTTCCTCGCATCAAATTGTTTTCATGGATGAAACATGGATATTTTCAAAAGGCAGTCCAAAAAAGTCTTGGCAAGATGAGTCAATAAAAAGTGTAAGGAGACCATTGGGCTTTCAAGGAAAGCGATTTATTGTTGTCCATGCAGGGAGCGAAAAAGGATTTGTTGATGGAGCAAGTCTGTTATTTTCCTCACAGTCTAAATCTGCAGATTACCATGGTGATATGAACGGCGAGACATTCATTAAGTGGTTAAAAGAAAAACCCCTCTGCAACTTGGAAGAGCCATCAGTGATAATTATGGATAATGCATCCTATCATAGCATTTTATTGGAAAAGACCCCAAACACAAGTTCTCCAAAAAAGAGATTATTGACTGGCTGGTTGAAAATGAAATTGTGTTCCAACCAACATTAACTAAAGTGGAGTTATTGAATATAGTGAAAATAAATCGTAAGGAAAAGAAGTATTTAATAGATGAAATCTTAAGAAGTTATGGACATGAAGTTCTTCGTACCCCCCCATACCAGTGTCAATTTAATGCCATCGAGTTAATATGGGCCAATGCTAAGCAGTATTATGATAGACATATTGGAAGATGTGGTCATAGTGATGAAAATGTTTTAGCTATGTGGAATGAAGCTCTGTCACAAATTACACCAGAGGTTTGGAAAAAATGTGTGAAGCATACCCATGATGTAATTTTAGAGTGGTACAACAAAACTATTACTCGTGAAACAGAACCACTGATAATCTCATTTGACTCAGATAGCGATACTGAATCTGACAGTAGCGATTAATTTTGAATCTGAATTTGACCATAAGTAATGGAATAACATATTGAAATGTACAGTTTATTTTATTTGATATGTTTTATATAATTTTGTAGCTTATGCTAAAATGAATAGTGGATGGCATGACATGAAATAGTACAAAAATATTTTCACTTTGGTATGCTTATTTGTGTTTGTATTTTTTTTTACAAAATAAAACCATGTTCTCAGAATCAATTGGTCGTTTTAATGGAGCTGATACCAATGTATTATTATGATTTTGGTAAGAACTCTAGGGACTCAACAATATTAGATGAAAGATAGGTTCAAAATACGTACTATTATTGTGAACAGAGGAAATGCTGTTTTTTTTTAAATAAATATGTAATTTTATTGCAAATAGAAGTCTTAAAATCTAAATTTGTGCACGGATAATGATAATTTAAAATCATGAAATAGAATAAATAAAAATAATCACTGAAATCAGCTAACTTCGATCACATGTTCCTGACATCGTAACCTTATCATCGACGTACGTCCGGTAATTATTTCGCTACAATTTATGGTATGACGTAATCGTCATCTTTCGTGATTTCGACATTACGCAATGATCTAGGCTGCATGCTAAGGAGGTACAATTCCAGTTACGCCTGTTATCCATTCGAGATAATTGTAAACTTGCGTGATCACCGTAGGCCTGTTATTGGTTTCCTTACATCCCATTCCCCAAGACGCAATGCCATTCAATCCAATCAAACCTGAAGCGAAACATTGAACAGGACCTCCAAAGTCTCCCTGACATGCCGCCATTCCATTTTGCTCCAAGTTGTTTAGGCTGCTGGCAACACAAAACATTTTCATAGTCACAAGCTCTTCTGAGTACATACTCCTGCATGTTTCTCTTGCCAAAGCTGTGGTGTAGGCCATTTGAAGTTGCTCGGGGTAGGATCCGTTGGCAAGCCTACCCCAACCTAAATAGCAGGAAAGGTGATACGTAAAGCTGGGTACGCATATGAGCACGAGCGCGAATAGGGCAACCCGAGAACGAACCATTTAACTGAATAGTGGACGCACGAGTGTTGTTCGCCATCGATCTTTGGGATATGGCGAGCATTCTTGTATTTCAGTAGCTTTTAAATATGGCCGATTCGGGTTCTGATGGTGAACGCAGTACGTATTTTATAAAACAAAACGGTCGTCGTCACAATTACGAGTATATCTTAACAGAAGGATACAATTGAATGAAAATAGCACAGGTTTGGTAAAAGAAGTCTTAGCCGATGAAAGGAGCGGGTTTTTCAAAAAATTTAACAGGATGTCTCAAGAAGATTTCCTTTTGCTATTAAATTGTATCAAACCAAGAATAGAACGACAAGACACATCTTGTAGAAAAGCTATTCCAGCTGAAGACAGACTAGCATTAACTCTTCGGTTTCTTGCTACAGGAGAAATAGCTCATAACAAACAGAAGTCATCTAAGAATTGATGGTTTTTATGAATGAACCTTTTCCTGTAACAGTCCCTTTTTTATTCTTCTGTTCTCTCGGCGAAACGAGCTTTTCAGACTACTCAAATTCTTTTTAACTTCTTGGACTTCCATATCCACAATTTAAGCCAGTCCTTGCCAGCCGTCTTCCTTTTTTAACTGTATTGTAAAACAACGGGTCTCTAGGTTTCCATAATATCTCTCTCTCTCTTTTGATATTTTTCAATGAGCCGTAACACTAGATCCCGATAGCATTCTAATAAAAAAATATTCTCTGATTATAATAATATGTTTGCGTGCACCACTAGTTGCTACAGAGAAGACCGCCTCGACATGAAATGTCTATTTCTGTCCAGACTGAGCTCGCTTCGAGCATATGACTTTGAGGTCGAGCCCGAATGCTTACGAATTGGTACTGCTCGTCAAGTGTAGGAAGAGATATGAGGATTTGCTGGGATTGCGCACCTGAGAGAGGGAGAACGCATTTGGAGCAAAAGAGATGGCACGTACAATACGTGCCATTCGATATCGAGTGGTACAGTCTGCGTTCTAAGTTAATCGAATGATTTCAAGAATGGAATACGTATTATGTGAAGCCTGCTTTCTTCAATCGAAATTGTTGGCATGTGTCACATAATAATAATAATAATAATAAATGGTTTTTATTGCCAAGATAAGCACACAAAAAGAATACATAGAACTCCAAAAAATTCTAGCTACTTTCCTGACAAATGGCAGAATTCGGCTCTTACTACCGTATAGAAAGATCCACTCTTCCATTCAACCGACAAAAAAAATACAATAATTGTTCACCTAGACCTAAACGTGATCCAAAAAACTTGACACAAAAGGAGTTAAAGGAAAACAGAAATGTCAAACTATTGTGACCACAGAAAAACAAGTGTGCAGTCATCGGCAAATAGAAAACGCTTCATTTTTCTTTTAAATAAATTCATAGACAAACTCCTGTTGGCAATCGGTACCTTATTATAGTTTTATGTTTCCACACCTATTCTCTACCAAATAAAGGTTTAAAATCGGATTTATGTGATTATCTATATAAATTAGATAAACATAGAAATAAGGAAACCAAAACAATTTATTGCATAAAATAAGTATTGCACGCTATGTAGCTAAAAGACTGAAATTGATTGGTGCTCATTCCATTTTCAATTGTTAATAATTTCAATCAATAATCAATCAAATGAAAAGTAAGGTCAGAAAACTAACATCTTAGTAGATATAGTTGGCAATATTTTAAAGATTTATGAAGGTTCACACGGGATCAAATCCTGAAAGTTCGGAATCGGAATCTGAGCTACTACTCAAACTTACATCTCCGGTTTCGCTATCGCTGTCTTTGTCTAGGTTTATTGTTATTTGATGCACAACTAAGTCGACTGCTGGATCCATTTACATATACTGCTTTTCATAGCCTTTGGCATGCTCACATCACTTTTTCCATTCTTTTGTGGGATAAGACGCGAATAAGTCGTCGCAAAGTTTGTCGACAGTCTTGAGATTAAAATCTACATTTATCTCTGCCACATATTATACCAAAGATGCCCATACTACTTCAATTGGGTTCAAGTCGGGGTGATGTAGTGGCAATCCCAAAACAAAATGACGTTTTTCAGCCATTATGCTGTCTGTTTCATTAGTTATACAGGGTGTTCCTTAATGATATGCGAATATTTGTGTGTGGGTCTACATGAGAAATTAATGTTAGTTTGCTTTATAAACTATTGTCCAAAAATGTTTCCTTATTAAATCTAGGGGTGTTGAAGCTTGATATTCAGTACGTGGTGAAAGTTGATGAAGTTACATATTTCTCAATGCAAAAATAATTTTTAGCTTTAACAGTGGCGTGCGTACGGGTATTGACTTCGATATTTTTTGCCAAATAAAAATTATTTTTGAATTCCCCGTTCAATTTCAAACAAACGATCTCTCTTTAATTATTTTCGTTCGATGCGCCTATTTTTGGTAAAAAAAAAACCGTTCTATTGTCCGAGAAAATTAATGTAATAATTGAAGAATGCAATTTAGCAATAAATATCTGGTTGCCCTGGAATATGTCACTGGTTTTTGAGATCTGACAAGTCTCTGTTATTCAAATCTGTTCGCTGTGTCATCTTTTTCATTATTTAGTTTTTACAAGCTTGTTAATAATGGTGAATTATCCAAATGCAGAAATGGCGGAAATGCATCACGTATATGGCCTTGCCGACGGTAATGGTAAGCAAGCCAGACAGATTTATCACCAGAGATATCCCGATCGTGCTCTGCCAGATAGTCGAACCTTTTCTAATATTCATCGTCGTCTTGTTGAAACTGGTTCTGTCCGAAAAGCAACATCTGAAGGTAGAACTATAAGTGTGAGAACACCTGAAATTGAGGAAGCAGTGTTGCACGAAGTCGAAGTACATCCTGAAACGAGTACGAAGAAGATCGCTAGACACTTAAATATTTGCCATCAAATTGTTTGGAGAATTTTAGTGGATTTTTTGTCATATCCTTACCCTATTTTAAGAGTACAGGCTTCCCACTGATTTCCCGAGGCGTGCGACCTTTTGTCAGTGGTATCTTCAAAAAATTACAGAAAAACCGTAATTTAAATCAATGGTTCTGTTCACGGACGAAGCTAATTTTTCTCGAAATGTCATTCAGAATTTTCACAATAATCATTTGTGGGCAGAAGAAAATCCCTATGCCGTAACCGAAACCCATTACCAACACCATTTTTTCGGTTAACTTATGTGCAGGAATTATGGGCAAGCACTTATTGGCCCATTCTTCTTGCCGGGACGACTTCAACAACAGTTGCCTTTGCGACTTGACGATGTTCCGTTAGCAGTAAGAAACAATATACATGGTAGATGCATGATGGTGCACCAACGCATTTCAATATAGCGGTTCATAATTATTTACAAATTGTTTATTCAGATCGTTGGATTGGCCGCGGTGGGCCCCAAGAATGGCCACCAAGGTCCCCAGACCTCAACATTTTACATTTCTTTTTGTGGGGCTATCTTAACACTAGTGTATACAAGTCCCATTAACACTGTAGAGGAATTAAGAGAAAGAATAGTTGCAGCTTGTGATAGAATCAAAGACACTCGAGGGATATTTCAACGAGTGCGCAATTCCATGAGAAGGAGGGCGGAAGCATACATACTAAGTGAAGGGAGCCATTTTCAACAATTTTTGTAATCATTTCGTTTATTTTAGTGTTACGTTTATGTTGACAGTTGTTGTTCATTACCCCCAATGTTTTTAATTTTCCCAGTTAAATTAATAATAGTTTTGCAAGTTAGACAATAGGACGGTTTTTATTTTTTTACTCAAAAATGGTGCATCAAAGGAAAACAATTCGAGAGAGTAGTAGTAGTAGAGTAGGATTTTTTTCTTTAAAAATATCGAAGTCAATACCCATACGCACGCCACTGTTAAAGCTAAAAATTATTTTTGCATTGAAAAATATGCAACTTTATTAACTTCCACTACGTACTAAATGTCAGTGCAATATCTGAAGCGGTTCTGAAAATATGAATTAATTTCCATTTTTTTCCTAAAACTTCAACACTCCGAGTTTTTGTAAGGAAACATTTTTGGACCATAGTTTATAAAGCATACTAACATTAATTTTTCATTTAGATTCACACCTTTGAATATTCGCATATCATTAAGGAACACCCTGTATATGCCGGCTTATGCATTTTGATAAAGCTATACGAACCAATTTTCAACATGTCGCCAGTAAATTGTTTGTTTTTTTGCCTTAGCCATTCTTTCATATGATCCTTCTTAAAGCACATAGAAGGACATTGTGGTACGGAGCGCTGTTTATAACCAAAACACTATTTGGTGGTAGATCGGGAATCAGTTTATGCTGAAGCCATTTTTTATGGTTACTATAGTTTATCTCACTATGATAATCACCCGACTTACTATTGGATTTAAATTTATGATATGCATTTTCCACGAAACCATTTTCACTACCAGCATGCAACGTAATAAATCATTGTCCTTTTGAAACAGGCCTGTGAAGGCCCTCATTGGTATTATCACTCAATCTCTTTCCATGCGTATGTGATGTATGGATGTATGTTTCGTCCATATAAAGTATAGGACGATTTTTTTATCTATATACTTTCATCCTTCTCAAAAAATTTCTCCTGAGATGCTGAATCGCTGGTTTCTTCCTAAGAAGTTTTCTATTAGTTCTTGCCCTCCTCCAACGAAATCCCATTGTACTCATCACTTTCCTTAAAGTTTTATGTGATCCAGTGTAATGGTGTTCTTGAACAAATTTCCTGTGTATGCGACGCAAAGTTGTAACCTTCTTTTCCGTTATGTAAAAATTCATTATAGATCGACGGAGCAATCCTCTATCAAAGCCGTCGAAATCAGATTTCGGAGTGGCTCTTCGTCTTTTTTTGTTTGGTGTCGAAAAAGATGTCGAAGTACCTTCTTCAACAGATT